TTATTTGACAATATTTAAAAAATATCGGAAAAAAGTGTTCCGAACAATTTCAGGTTTTGTATTAAAAACGTATTTTTTTCGGAAAGGTTGTCAAACATTATTACCATATATTTTTATTGTGATATTGGTGTCAGAAATGGGATATAATTCAAAGACTGCAAAGTGAAATCCGATTGCAGAATAGAGCGGACTACTTCGGACACAAGTGGGACAGTTAGTCATTCAGTGTAAGCAGTGATAATCACCAAAACATACTTAACCGATTGTATAAATAATCCCGGAAGTGACTGTATACCCAATTTTGACTGTGATACCTAGTGAATTTACAAGTAAGTTCTAGAAAATTCTATTTGGAAACCAAGGGAAACATCGAATTTGTGACTTCACCGACGTGTTTGCTATATCTATTAACATTCAGAAAAGACATTTCAAGAAAATTCTAGAACATTCTATTCGAGAATTAAGCAAGATATCCAATTTGTGACTTCACCAAAGTATTTGGAACTTCAATGAAAAACCAGGAAAGAATAGATATTTGAAAAAAATTCGAGGAAAATTCCAGAACATTATCTAAACTGCTGGAACTTCGTTACGCATAAAGAAATCTTTTGCCTGTTTTTGAAGTCAAATATCTCAGAAAGTATACGAGATATTTGATTGCGGTTTGAAGCATATTGGGGCGCATTGTTTGGTGTTTAAGGTATATGGTATCGTGCTGATGAACAGAAACGTAATATACAACATACAGGGTGGACAATAAAACAGTGCAACGTTCAACAAATTTCAGAGCGTCGCTATTTTTTTTCAAACAAACTTCTGCTTTTTTTCTGGGTTTAGGAAGAATCAGTAGTTCAATGGTAAAAAACAACTTGAAGGGTTTTTGAATAAATCTCGTAGTTTTGCTGAAATTTCAGTTTAACTGAAAAACGACTTTCATCACGCTGATTGTCTTAGTTCAGTTACTCAAAACAATTTTCTTCATTATTGTTGGTTCAAGGTTTTCATCTTTTTTTGTTTTAAGAAGATTTTATACAGGGTGAAAAAAAAGTAAGTTTTTAATATTAATTCTGTGGCTTGGTTGAAAAAGGGCCTAAGTGCAAATTTTCAAAAAATGAGCGTAGTGTAAGTGTAAAAGCTATAATGTAATAATAAAGACCTATGTTCAGTTAAGACCCATTTTCATTGGTATTATCTACCTATAAAAATAAAGTGTAAAAACTCAAATGGGCATAAGTGATTGATAGGCCTAAAAAAATTTGGTCTATGTGCTCTTAGGTCTTTTTAACATTCTATCTGCTTTTCCCTATAGGGCCTATCTGCAACTTAGAATAATTTAATTTTACAATTTTGGTTCTATATTTACTTAAGACCTTTTTAATTTCATATCAACATACACACACCCTGCTACTCCAAGTAAGTACTGAAGAACCTGGGCCCGGATCCCGAACCCACGATTCGATAGTATCCTCTATGTAATTTATATAAACGATACTATCGAATTGTGGGTTCGGGATCCGGGTTCTGAGCCTGAGCCTGGACCATCATCGTCCGGACTTTCCAAAGTCCCAAAAAAACGAAGGTAAGTAAAATGAAATGTAATAAATGAGTAAATATATTTTTTTTTTTGTAATTGGGTGCTGATTACTTTCTGTTACATCTACATACATAATACTTATAAACCATCAGTCGGGCTTACGAAAAATGGAGGAGGAAGTAATTTAAGGTCGACAAGTGTAGTTTGTGGGGTATTGACAAGCACAGACTTTTTATTATTGAACCCCTTCATTTTGTCAAACAAGCGTTTAGAGGGAAAAATGAATTATTAGTTTATGCGTATGTATATTGATGAAAATTTAAAATTTTGGTGCTCACTGAACTCAATATTTGGTTGACTACATCTTTTATTCAATGATACTTTATGTAGAGTGGTTATTTTGAAATCACTGTTATTGCAGTTTTCAAAAAGTTCATTAAAATTGGCCTTTTTTCGAGTGACGATGGCGAGCTTATAAATTTAACAGTAACAAGGTTATGTAGGTGATTCGATGCATAATTTTATATTCTTCAACTTTGAATAACATGACATTTTCCATACGATGCGACGTTTGCAAGATATGACCAAAAAATCGGAAAAAGTCCGAAAATTTGAGGTTTTTGGCGACTTTCGGGCTGATGGGACAAGGCAACAAACTTCAAATTCGTATTCAGCACCCCAAAGAACACAAAATTTCATTGAGAAACCCTCTACCGCTTTCATGTTACCAAAAAATTACCATTTGATTGGACTATTGGACTTAACACAGAGAAACCGATGGATATATGTAGTGGGATTGTAGACTAAGGATGTCCTCTCCTAGGGTTGTTTACATAAAATCATTGGGCAGTCATTATAGAAATTTAAAATTCAAAGGACAAATTAATGAAGAATTCAAAATCATCACTTTTGATACGGATGCTGTAGCTTCTATAATTAGCAGAACATTAGTGAAATCTCGGGCAATCCAACCGCTCACTAGAAACCTGTCACTACGAACAGTCACGAGCGAATCGGCACCAGTTTAAGGAAAGGTTATGGTTGACCTTACTTTTGGATCTACCACCTGTAGGTACAGAACATTAGTCGCCGATATCTATATATATAAACGTGAAATTCACTCACTCACTGACTGACTGACTGACTGATTAAACACGAAATCTCTAATACTACTAAACCAATCGAGATGAAATTTTGCAAACAAGTAGGTAATAGGTTGGAGATGCTCACTAAGAAATAATATCAACATGGCCTGAAGCAATCGCCTTAAATAACCAAAAATAAGAAACGGTGTGGTGCGGGAGTGCGAGGAAAAAAGTGTAAACAGAAACAGACGACGTGTCAGCTGTCAAATTCAGAAATATGACAAGCAGAATCAAATTCATAGCGATTTCCATTTGCAGAACCAGTGCAAAAAAAAATGTGTTTTTGTCGTTATATTTTCATGCTTTCACCAGAAACGATTCGGAACCAATTTTGAACAAATTCCACCGGTCCCAGGACCCAGGCTAAGCTCACTTCAAGTTTGAGACATGACATTCGCAATTCGTTCACGTATTCGACAGTCTGGAGCAAGGTTCTGGAGTTTTTGTTCGGTTCCAAAACTGTTCGCGATGAAATAGGAACCTGAACCCATTCACAAGTTGGCTTCGGGTTGCTCACTCCGAGTTACTCCGATCGCACTCCAACCGTTATCTGACAAGCTTAAAGGTAATACCCGAACGGCTGAAGTGCGAACGGAATCACTCGGAGTGCATGGAGTGAGCAAGCCGAACCCAGCTATAACTGTAGGCCTGGGCTCTACGATAGTCCTCAATTAGTTCCGGACTGGTTCGGAATCGGTTCAAAATATGATCCGCGAACAAAGCTATTAGCAGCGAGTGGCACATTGGGCACTTCAAAAAAATTTAACGTCAGCTGTCAAAAAATAGTCTTCATAAGTTGTATTCCTTTCAAGAGTTTGAAACACTCGAGCTACTCGCTCCGGTGTTTAGTAGCCCCCGATTTGCAGGGAACAGATGCGTGGTGCAACAAACACTTTTCGAAAGGAATAAGCGCGTGAAGCCCCGGAGCTGTTCCGGAGCTCTTCCTAGGTGTGAAAGGAATACAACTATATTCTGCAGCCACAAAGCAGAACAAAAAATGTGATTTACAGAGAGGTGCTGCAAAAATAAGAGTTACATGACCATATGTCTGACGCAACTATCCCCTTAGTTCTTTGAAAGAAGATTACCTAATGCTATTTACACCCTACACCTACAAAATTTGTATAGGGCGTGCGAAGCGGCGGGCAACAGCTAGTAGAAGATAATTTTATTTTGGGAATGGATTTGATCGGCCAACATGGTTTCTCTTTCGATCCTTCCATAAATATCCTTAAATTTGGTAATGAAGAATTTGTCCTAATTACACAAGATGAATCCCAAGCCGTTAAGATCCTCTCCACAAACTCAGTGAGGATTCCTGGAACAAACCGGCCTAAAAGTCCTTATTCTTTCTTTTTGCTTCGTAATATAATTAATTGGCTTTTTCACCAGTTAGATTGAATTGCCAAATTTCTGACGAAACTGTACCAAGAGCCAAGGGTTATCAGTCGGTTTCGAAAAGTGCGATGATTGTCTTACAACCACGACTCTTGACCGCTGAGTCCTTGTAAAAAGTCGCCTGATTTGTAACTGATAAAAAAGCGTCATCAAATTCGCTAAATAAAAGACGCCTCACGTCGCTCTGAATTCATTCAGTTCTGGTTACAGATTCTGGTGCTTACAGTGTAAAGTCGTTCGTTATAGTTACAAAGCAAGTGAGGTTTTAGTTCCCACATATTTCCCATTGACAATTTATTATCTTATTTACTGTATATTTTTTCTACTTATTGTCAAATCGTCAAACTATTTCTCTATCTTATTTCTACGTATTGTCCATTACCAACTTATTTGCCCATAAATCCTTTGTTATGACTTTCAGTCATTTTGATTCGATCCAGATAGACTTCAAGAAGCCACAGATCTCATCTTGAAAGAAGCAGGCGTATTTGTGATGAATAATCAAACCAGACGGACCAGTTTAATGATTTTGTATGGATCACCGTAAGTTCAATGATGTCACCAAGAAAAACAGCTTCCCTCTTCCGAGGATAGACGAAACATTAACAACTCTATATTGGGCTCCAAATGATTTTCCACTTTGGATCCTAAAAGTGGATACTGGCAAGTGGTAATACACAAAGATGACAAAGAGAAAACTGCCTACACTACCGGAAGCGAGTTATATACCAGTTTAACATAATGCCTTTCGGATTTTGTAATGCTCCAGCTACGTTTGAGCGACTCATGCATCTTGTTTTGCGAGGTCTTACATGGAGAACTTGCCTGGTATATTTAGAATGATGTCATGATGAAGTTAAGTGGTTAGGGTTAATTAGTGTCAGAGTGTATATTAACGTGGAATAAATAAGTGTTGTATTAATTGGACATTGATTTTGAAATAATTGGACCTATGATTTCTGTCACGCACCCCAAAGCCGTGACAGTAAGTTATAAACCTGTGACTCTTATAAAATACTTATTTATTCATAAAACACAAACCTGGTACAGTTTTAGTTTGCTATTGTTTCGGTGATTTCATTGAAATAACGCAATCAATCACCAAATATTTATTCAGTTTAAATTATTATCGATTGTAAAAACATGTTGTAAGATTATCAATAACGTCTGTAATATCTTTCTGAATAACTTCTTTGATGTGACACTGCATTGTGCTGTCCACAACGCCAGAGATTAAATCTTTCAGTTGACCAAGATCGACTTTGGCATTGGGTATAATATTATCTTCGAATTGTTCCACAATTCCTCCCAAGAAAATGGTTAGGCAAAAACTGTCTCCGCTACCACACTCGCTCAAATTCAAAGTCAAAGTTTCGAAGTTGGCTTGAAGTTCAAGGAGTTGTTTCAGAACGGTTGTAATCAAAGCGGACAAGTCTTCGTAGTTTTTGAATTCACAATCGGCAATTTGTTTCAAGGCTGCACCAATAAGGGTATCGACTTGGGGTTTTTCAGTTTGGATACAATCTATGATTACTTTGCCGCTATCGCTGGCGTCTTCCTTCAACTTTCCGATTAGGGTTGCGATTATTCCGGTGATTTTGGTTGCAACTTTGGTCAAACCATCTACAATGATTTTTTCGTTGTGGTCCTTATTGGAGTCCAGTTGGTCTGCCCAGGTGTTGGCATGGTCCAAAATGATTTTGGTTTCAGGGAGGACTTTGTTGAGGATTTCGACGACGATTTGTCCGATGTCCTTATCTTGGACAGGAGATTGAGTACTGGCCTAGAAAAATAAATATTTTAACTTTTTGTCATAAAAATATTAATAAATTAGTACTTACATGTATTGCCACAAGGGTCACAAATAAAGCAGTGAAGAATTTCATATTGCAACTTTTTGAAGTGAATAATGTTTTCCAATCGAATGCCTTTTATATGTCAAAAAGTCTATTATCTTAAGTGCATTTTTTAAAAAAAATTATCGTATCTACGTATATATGCACTTGAAGCTGTTTTGTTTTTAAATGCACAGGTGCATGATAGATCTAGAGTCCTCATGTTGTGAAAATCTCAAAAGATAAATAATTGAAATTTCCTTTAGAAATTCATAAGTATAACAAAAAAAAATTAGTAGTCTTGTTCAGTCAAAAATAGCTCCAAATCTGTTTCATTACGTGCAAAGCTCCAACGTCAAGGATAGTTTTAGGTACACGAACAAATATGTGTCTGTTTACAATGTTCTGGCCCGATTTCTCGTTCTCGCAGCAAATTTCCACGTCAAACACACCCCCCTAGCAAAAAAGGTTTGCTGCGCGAGTAATTACAAATTCATTTAGCAAACACGCCCGACGTATTAGGGCTGTTAGACTATGCAATGTGTTTAAATAACACACAAGATTTAGAGCGAACAGAGAATTGCTGAATTAAAATATCGGAGTTAATATTGCCTCGATAAGCGAAAAGGTTTTATGTTTTCGAATATTTCAATGCAATTTGATAATCTTAATCACAAAAATTTGCCACGAGGATTTATGGAAAACGTTCTGAAACCAGTGGCGGCTCGTCAGAGGAGACCGGGGAGGCTAAGCCTGATTCCTAATTAAAATAATAATTCACAAATTACACTTTCCAAATTTCGATATTTCATTTGTAATTTAGAAAAATCTGACAACATTATTTAAATCAATCCCGCGCCTCCAGGACAAAAATCTAGCTGAGTCAATCTGGGGAGTCAGGGTACAACAAATTAGCAACAAGCTGATTTCAGCGGGAATGTTTAGTAAGTGACCTCTTATTCAACCTCCCAAAAGTCCCATTCGGTCCTAGGTGTGGAAGGTTGAAAAAAATAGCCTTCTTCTTGGATTTTTTTGTTTTTTTTTTAAATATCTCAGTTTCTATTAGTTTTTTCAAGAAAACTGAAAAAACCTTTTTTGTGGAGAATTTAATTCTCTATAAAAAGTGTTAATACCTTTTTTTTGTAACATAAAGGATAAGGGAGTTACAGAGTTTTTTATAGTAAATATTTCAAACATTTCTTTACTTTTATCCCTTTCGAAATGTTTAGAAAAAGTCTAAGGTTGAATAGAGAACGAAAACGATTTTCCCTGTTCCACCTCTAGCAAAAAGCCCTCGAAATGCTAGAGGAAATCGTTTTCGTTCTCTATTCATCCTTAGATTTTCTTTAGGCATTTCATTCTATCGCATTAAAATTGATATGCAAGATGTTTACTTGCCAGGCGTGTATAGGACTTGGACATGAATACAACAAGTTCCTTATTAGAATCCAGAATGGCTTTACAGGTGCCTTCTAGCCCATTCCGTTTTCAATACCATCCATAGTGAGCTGGTCATTGGCAGGAATAGGAAAAAACCCTCTATCTAATTTTGCTACATCATCCTCGATAACATACAATTCTGATTGGATAGCACATTTCTTTGATCGGTTTTAAGCTTTTCCATCTCTGCTTCAAATTCGTGAAGTCTTGAGCTCAACCCCGGCAGTGGAAACACTCCATACAGCTTGGAAAAAAATATCTTAGGCAGCGTTCTTTCATTATGAGAACTCGGATCTCAGAGCTCCTTACTTCAGAGAACATAGAATCTTGCGACAAATGTCACATGGTTAGCCAAAAAGCTAATTTTTGTCCATTTGTCCTCCTTTTGGAAGCAGACCTTATCACATATCAGAATTAATTATGGTAGGAATAAAATTTAATTCTCCACAAAAAAGGTGTCTTGAATTTTCTTGTAAAAACTAATAGAAACTGAGATATTAGAAAAAAGACAAGAAAATTCAAGATGGCGGCCATTTTTTCAACTTTCCACCCCTAGGACTGAATGAGACTTTTGGGAGGTTAAATAAGAGGTCAGTTACTAAACGTTTCCGCTGAAATCAGCTTGTTGCTAATTTGTTGCACTCCCAGCTATGGTATGCAAGAAATATTTTAGGACACTTCAGGAAAATACTTCAAAATTCAAATTTAAGTAATCAGAGGTATTTTAGAAAATTCCATTAACACTTTTCAAATAATTTGGAACATTCAGAACAATCTAGAACACTCTGAGATTCTCAGAACCACTCTGGAACGGTCTAGAAAACCCAAGGATGATACACACCTACAGAATTGCTCATCGGCCTCGTTTTTGGTAATCGCCGCCATATTGGTATGTCACCATTTCCCACGTCATAACTAAGTCGTCAGCTGTTTTAAACAGTTTACATCAAGGTGAAAAATAACATGCTGTCTACGTCACAACTGGTGATTTGGCATGGTGAAAAGGGGAGAAATTATTAGACACAGACCTTATGAGATGAGGATAAGTCATCCTGTAGTAGTAGTGTGTATCATCCTTGGATCGAAATGGCGTTTTTTTTTTTAATTACGAGCCCGAAGGGCGAGAGTGTTTTCAATTTCAAGCGCACAGGGCAACAAAAGAACGGCATTTTGTATCGAATGTCAAAGAAAACAAAGCCTACTTTGAAACGTCAATTTTTTGACGTTTGTTGTTTCATAAGCAGTGTTGCCATATGTTTTTTGCGAGACCAGAGGGCTGGGGTTATTTTAATTACGAGTCCGAAGGGCCGCAGTTATACGAACTCGAAGGGTCGGAGTTTTACGAGCTCAGAGGGCCAGAGTTATACGAGCCCAAAAGGTCGGAGTTTTACGAGCCCGAAGGGCCGGAGTTTTATAAACATTCGTGCATATTACCAGATAAAAACCTTTGCGCTGTGCCTTTGCCCTATAAATTCGTGATTCAATTATGTGCCCGTAGGTTGAGGGTTTTTTCTAATGATATAGATGAATATATCACCAAAAAGTATTTTTTTTTTTTTGATGATACATATCATCAGAAAACCGTCGCCCTTCGGGCTCGTGATTTTTCAAAACTCGCCCTATGAGTTCGTGATTTTTTGAAACTCTCGCCCTTTGGTTTCATGATTTTCTAAAACTCGTCCTACCGGCTCGTGAATTTTTAAAACTCTCGTCCTTCGAACTCGTGAACATAGTCCCTTCATTAGTGGTCAGAGAACTAAAGTCATTGATGGTTGGTGAAGTTGTTTCACTGGATGCAACATCAACAATTTCCAAAAAAATATATTTATTTTGGGAATTCGCTCCAAATTGCAAAGATCGGTTTGATAGGTCCAGCACAATTTCGGAATTTCTTATAAAGTCGGCCCTACGTTGGGCGCCAATATAACAAATCACTGTTTAGGTAATATAGGTAATATGGAGATATAATAAATATGGGTTTGTTACAATTTTTCTATCTATCATCACCTACGGAGCGCTATCCTGGTATAGCCGAACCCAGCTGTCCTCCTTTTGAAAGCAGGTCTTGTCACAGGTAGATTCATATCAGAATTGATTATGGTAGGAATAAAATTTAATTCTCCATAAAAAAGGTGTCTTGAGTTTTCTTGAAGAAACTAATAGAAACTGAGATATTAGAAAAAAACAAGAAAATCCAAGATGGCGGCCATTTTTTTCAACCTTCCACCCCTAGGACGGAATGAGACTTTTGGGAGGTTATATAGGAGGTCAGTTACTAAGCATTTCTGCTGAAATCAGCTTGTTGCTAATTTGTTGCACCCCCACCTATGGTATGCAGCTACGTTTATCCTACTAATCTGTGAATCTGGGATACTCAGTAATACGAGCCCGAAGGGCCGGAGTTATACGCGAGCCCGAAGGGCCGAAGTTATATGCGAGGCCGGAGTTATACGCAAGCCCGAAGGGCTAAAGTTATTTTAATCACAGGGCCCAGTCTATAATTCTATTGGTCAGCGGATATATTGAAGCCAATCAAAAATCGGGAATATTCAAAATGTGATTTTTAGTCGATATTCCAAGTTTCAGTTCTCTCCGATGTACCGGAAAAAAGTTAGCCTCCCCATCTTTCTTGATTTTTATTTTTTTTTTCCGAATTTCCAAAAAAAAAATACCATCGAAAAGAGCAAAAAAAAACGTTGAAAAGCTTATGGGACCCTGCTTGCTATGACGCACTTTAAAGCCGGGAAAAAATTAAAGAAGGATATTTCGATTTTGGCCAGATAAAAATTTCGGCCATCTGACATGACGTTACTTTTTCGCTTATAGGTCCCCTATTTCTCAACCGATCATTTCGAGTTATATTTCTTTTGAAAGAGAATGAAATTACCTAAAATTTTTATTGAGATTCCAGGCCGTTTTCGCCTTTGAGATATCAGCTGTCAAAGTTGAAATTTTTTGTAAATTTGTTAAAATATTCCAGGTCGATTTTCTCGAAAACGGTGTCCCGTGGCGGGATACTTCCTCTAAGCTTATTTGTAGTACTCGACGAGATCTATAAGTTTTTCTCCCGAGATTGTCGTTTTCGAGTTAGGACGTTTTAAAAATTAAAAAAAATTAATCGAAGGCTACCACCCCCTTCGAATTTTTATGTCGAAAAAAATCAAATCTTGAATTTCAAAAAAAAAATAAAATTCTATCGGATAGAGGAGCAAAAAATACGACGAAAAGTTAATTTGACTCTCCTCGCTACGGCATATCTTGAGGCCGAAAAAAAATAAAAAAGGAAATTTCGATTTTGATCAGAAAAAAATTGTGGGTACCCGACACGAGGTCACTTTTTCGCTTATAGCTCCGTTATTTCTTAACCGATCATTTCGAGTCATATCTCTCTTGAAAGAGAATGAAATTACCTACAAAATGTTTTTTATTCAGATGCCAGGCCATTTTTGTCTTTGAGATATCAGCCGTCAAAGTTGACATTCTTTGTAATTTTGCTAACATTTTCAAGGTCTATTTTCTCGAAAACGGTGCCCCGTGGAGGGATACTTCTTATAGGCTTTTTTGTAGTATTTGACAAGATCTACAAGTTTTGTATTTGAAGTTTTTCTCCCGAGCTTTTCGTTTTCGAGTAAGGACGCTTTGAAAATTAAAAAAAAAAAATGGAAG